CAAAGAGATTGAGTTTTTTTCCTAAGCTGTGTGAATGACGGGTCATTTTCACTGCGGAATACTTTTCTTCTCCTTTCTCAGAGAGATCATCCGCTGTTTCTCCCTATAAGGCCAATGCGAAGTGCCAGAATTCAACCTTACCTAAGCTCTCAAATAGCCCTCGCGATCTTGCGAGGGGTGCGATCCACCACCATCGAGGGTGATTTCACGGATTGACGCGCGAGTCTAATCGCTTAGAGTTTAAGAAAGGCAATTCCGGCGCGCACTACTAGCGATGAGCCTCGGAATTGGTGTTGTACGGATCGAAGGTATATATGTGAAACAGATGAAGCGAAAAGACTGTTCGCGAAACGAGATGCGCTGACGGGAAGTACAGTCGTATAAGTTGTCGAAGCAATCGGGGTATACGATTGATCTGCGGAAAATGGAAGCCTCTCTTTTGGAGAAAGATATATTTTCTCATCAAAGGGAAGTCGTTTCACATGTAAAAATAAGAATCCGCAAAACTAGACCGTATACACGTATTTGTGTCAATGTATCGATGTGTGTATTCAGAGTCTCTTAATTTGTTATACTTCAACAAGTAAAATATCCATTACCAAAATTCCATTGCAAAATATTCATCGCGTCGTTGCGGTGCATTACGGTTCGCATTTGTCCATTCCGTTGCGAGGAAGCGGAAAGAATAATAAACTCGTGAAAAATTCATAAATAGGTCTGCTGTAAAGTTAGGAGTCGTCGGCGGCGAAGTGTAGAGACGTCGCATAATATTTAGACAGAATTTTTACGCAAAGCATTAACGTCATATATTTAAAAACATGCATCGCGTATTTGCGTCGACCGTTTTATATATTTCACAAGACGCCGGGGCTTGCGTTTGTCGAATTCTCTATTGGAAGCGGTACCTTTCGAGGTATCTTTCAATTAATGTTTGTTCAGCAGCCAATATTTAATATGGAAATTCTTCGATACTTTGCCGAGTAGTACGAAAGTACGCTCTAGGTCGACTAAAATTTCTGGACTCTCCTCATAGAACGCCTGCTGAAAGCTACCGTTATCGATTTTATCTATTGGGTATTTCTCGACAGGTACTCAACCCCCCTCGGTATACCCCCTCCGGCCTCTTATGCCACCGTCTGCTCTCCTTTTCAACCTAGGTCCCATCCTCTAAGCCGCATTGTTGTTTCGGAACAGCGGCACGGTATTTGCTCTCCATTTTCCGTCGTATTTACATTTAATTTATACTCAACTGCGTTCTTTCCTTGTTATTTCAACATAGTGGAAAACACTTAGATTATCTATATATGAAAGAAGTATTCACAAAAATGCATTCCCCAATTCGATTCGGGAAATATTTAGATTAAAACCGCAAAGTAAATTGATCTCACTTCTATCATTCACGACGTCCCGTCCCCGTCATTACGGGAATGTTTCCGCTCCCAAGTGTTCGCTGTCGTTGACTAACCGTCATCGCGCGGCAGATACTCCATCCCGGCGGATGATAGAGTTCCGGGATGGCAGGGATTAGATTTTTCACTTTTTATCAAGCCGCCGTTCGCGGATCGATACGCACTTTAATGAACTCAAAGTGTAACCTCTCCGCGCGGAGCTCTGCGGAGCAGCTCCGGTGCGCCACTCTCGGTTGGTTTTAGAGCCGGTAGTGGTAGTTCCCGTCAAACTGCTTCTACGGCTAATATTTACATTTATTAACTCTCTCGTCGTAAATGAAATTTTCAGATAACTTTTAGGATATAGCCTGAGGGTTATAATGCTATCCAACCGTCCGCCCACGGTCGTTCCGACGTGCTCAACAGCGGGGTTTGCGCGTTCACTGTCTCCCACCTCCTGTCCCTTTTTCTGTTGCTCTCGTTGCATTGTCAGAAGCAGATTAGCCAATAACTATTCCCGGGATAAACTCTCGCTACAGATTTAAAACATGATACTGCCTCCGATTGAGAGATGCGCAATTTTTTTCCTCTCTATACCCGTTTCCGTTCCTTTCTTTTCGTCCGTCCTCTTCCACGTCTCCGAGATCTTTGAGGATAGAATCCATCTATTTAGATTTAGACTGACTAATCGTTGATAGGATACGCCGGACAAGACAACGTCTTTGTAATATGAACAAACGAATGTTCCCAAAAAAGCACGATTGTTGCGTAGAATTACAAAAAAAAAGCATTTTATAGAATATACATATATCGCGATGGTTAACGAAAAATATATTGAAAGTGTAAGGCTACAAAGGCTACGGTTCATTCACAGGCATAATCGTTACGGAATGTAGAACGCCTGGGAAAATCCACGAATGGGAAAATGACTGTTAATTGTTTCGTTACATAACTGTTGCATATTACATAACGTTACGTATCCGCCCGTGGCTATGCGCCACGTCAAAGCCACGATACGCATTGTTCTCATATGCATCGTTTTAGACAAGCTGCCCTGAAATGTTGCCAAAATTTCACGTCCTGTCATACTTTTCATACGACTCTAACGAGTGTGGAAATTTGTGTCGACGTGCTATTCACGCGACGTGCACAAATTTCGAGTTCGGGATTGAAAATTTCGCTACGTGCCTCCTTTGACTTCGTCAAAAATTGTGTATACGCCTGAAAAGTTGAAATCGAATAAACGTAAGCACGTTGATTGGTCTAACAAACTCGTTAACGAGGAAAACATTCCTGTCGGTGCTCGCGTTCTGATACTCTTGATTACTCGGGAAAGCGGATTCTTTTTACTTTTCTGACTGGATGGTTTTGCGCCTGCGGGTCATCGAGCTGGATAATGAAACATGCAAATGGAAATGAGGCAGTGCTGTGTCAGATAATATTATGACTGTCCACAAGAGGAAGAGCGAACGCTCGGTCATTTCAGCGTACAGACTTTCAACGATGCTTTTACCATCAGCGTTGAAATTCTCACACTGTACTTTATTATTGCAGCTTTCGAGGCGGATCTTAACATCCAAGCCCGTCATTCGCGAAAAATAATACTTGATCGTTATAATCGGCAATTTGTAGGAAAAACGGACGCAATTTTGTTTTCAGTAAAGCGAAACAGAACAGAATTTAGCAGTCGGGTTTAACACCTTGTTTTGGACATTCGATTAATGTCTGTCATTGTATCGAAATTTATTTGTTATCGCTCGTCTCAAAATCTATTTTCTATTGTTGTTATTTTCAACGACAAAAACGACGTAATTCTTTTTAGATTATTTATTACTATATCGAGATATAATATATTACCATTCGTAAGGACTAAAATACATTTCGATTGTTAAAAAAAATTGAGATAAAAAATACACATATGCATTAGATGAATAAATCAATATCAATTGCAAAAAATAATTTAAGCTTCTGAAAGATTTAAAATCTGAAATCGCGCACACGGGCAAATAGTGAAATCTGAACCATTATGCCATTTCCACATATTGCCCTGCAGGATTTGTACAACTTACCGGTGCATTCGGAGCAAGAGCAAATTTGCAAGATCTTCCCGGAAAAACGGGCGCGGATATTTTGCGGCATATGATGTGTATGTGAAGCAACAAGCCGCGACAGGGCGCATCTAGAAGCATTCGCCACAAACTATTTTGCAAGGGGGTAATAGAGAAGGATTCAATATTTCCTTGCAGGCATCACGGGATGGTATCGCCATGGTTACGGCTTCAGCCATGCGGATTGCTTTCCTCCTTCTTTATGTTTTCGTTGTTTGACATCGTTTCCCTTGGCGGGCTTCTCATTCAATCCTCGAGCTTGCTCGCGCAATACTGTTCGCAATGCGTATCATTTTACAAATTTTCTCTTTATTCCGGATGCCGTTGTTGGGCGCGCACCGTCGCGCGCAACATTCCGTTCACGTAAAACATAAAACTCAACGCTTCACTTACGGGAGCGTAAGAACAGATTGATACGAAAGTAATACACGTCCGAAAATTCATGCAGAAAGGCGACGCGCGGTAGTTTGTAAACTGAGTTTGACGCAGCTCGCTCGATGCGGACACACGCGGAATATTTGCATGCGTATTGATATATATGTATATATATATATATATATATAATATGTATATAGCATTTCCGGGAACTCAAATGTTGTAAACAGTTTACATGAATTGTCATGCGATACAACGTCAATATACGATAAATACAATTATATTGGATAACTTGCCATCGGATATCATGTTCTCCCAATGCATTATACATCAATATCGTCACGTAAATGCAATGTAATTTAGAATTCAGCTTCTCGTATGCCTAATATTATTATTGCTAATTATGAAATCTATTATGAAAATATTGTTGCAGTCGGAAACGTTCTTAAAGCGGAAATTTAAAAAATGCCTAGTAGATATGCACAATTTTTAATATATACACATGCAAAAGCAAGAATTATTTATAAACTAAACGCACTCCTCTTCTGAGTTTTGACAGTTGGCAAGTCATTTCTTTTGACTCTTAAAGAGTGCTTCGGTACTTGCATTTCTAGCACAAAACGGATGAGCACTAGAAATTTATGCTTACATGCGCACATATGAGCAAAAATTTTTAACACTTTTATATGCGTGACATATAAATTTTATCTTTTGTAAGTAAAAATAATTACTTAATTAAATGTTTTATTAAAAAATATTAATATTTAACTATTTTTAAATAGATTTATTTCTTAACTGCGCTGATTAATTTTCCGAGAAAATGTATTAAGAAAATGATTAAATGTCAACATTTTCATTAAATTAAATTAAAAGTTTTATAGTATAAAATTACGATACAAAATTATTTTTAACATGATTAATTAGAAACTTTTTAAATTTATTATATATATATATATATATATATATATATATATATATATACATTTATATAATACTAAAATGTCAATATTTTATTTATATATTATAAATAATGTTTATATATAAAATATTATATTTATTTGCAATATTTATTATTCTTCATTTAAATTTTTTTAAATTCTTGAAATTATAAATTTAAAATTTCACTTACCGATATGATGCGCAGCGGCAAAGTTGTAGCATACAACGTTGATCTGTAAAATACAAATATATCCAAATTATAAAACAGTGTTCAAAACATTGATTATTATTTCAAAAACAATTATTGTGCCCAATTAAATTGCATATTTCTCCAAACAGATATTTGATAACAAATATATATAAATTCCGACAAAATTTTGTTAAAAATATATTTACTAAACATGATAATTAAAGCTCTAATTTTCATATAAATAATTACAAATCTTAAACAATGCTGAAATATTTATACGCATTTATATGAATTAATTATTACAAACATTTAAGTATTTTAAAATAAAATTTAGAATATTTTATATGTAATTCTATTACACATTTATGTAAAATGAATCACCATAAATGCGCGACTAATTTGAAAAGTAACAAAAATAAATTAAAATATTGCTTACCTCACGATTATCACTCGATACCTCCTTGAGTTTTATTTTCTTCTTTCTCTTTATTGATCCTTTACTTTTTCCATGGTACTTATGTTTCACACTGACACTTCCACTGATATGTATTTGTGAAAACGTGGTTAATTACGATTGCGCATATTATTAATTGATAAAATTTACAAAGATTGCAGCACATTACTTTTTACATTAATATATGATGAGCAATTAACTACGATTATTATAATTGCAAAGAACGATTCATTTAGTATCTCCTAATTCTTGTTGCGATCGTATTTAGAAAAATAATGAGATATAAAACGAAGCGATTCACGCCATCGCTCGAATTTCGTCGCGAATAATGATAACAAAGAGGCGAAGCGTAACGATAAAACCAACTTCGATTTCAAATTCTTCGATATATAGTGACGTGTACTGTTCACCTTCGATCGTCATGTTGTCATTCGTACAGCGAGATTCGAGCGAGCAGGTAGTACTGCCGTGTCGTGCTACGTGTTATATCATATTATGTTACATATCTCGTAAAATATCGTGATTGCGACAAATAATAAAAAATATCTAGTGCGATTCTTCTGTGCGATTGTAATTAACCGCGTCTTCGCGTGTGAGTGTCAGCGTAAGTCGTGCAAATACCATGAAGGGATAGTGGATCAACAAGGAGAGGAGGAGGAAGTTTGGGGAGACATCGAGCGACGGCGCGGCGGAGCAACCGTGAGATAAACACAATTTATAATTTACTTTACTTTTATTACTTCTGAGATTAATTACTCTTTTATCTTCGCGGTAGTAATCCATTTTACACCATTATATAATAGAATATGTACATATAAATTATACTATATATCAAATATTTATAATATTTCAAAATAAAATTTAGAATAACTTATATGCATATATTCTATTACATGATGATAAAATGGATATATATATATGTACATTATTATAAATATTATCCAAAGAAATATATATCAACATTGTTTAAAAGTTATAATAATTTAAAATTTTATAAAAATTTATATAAAAACTCATTTATCAAATTTTATAAAAAAATTATATCTAATACAAATATTTTCTAGAATTTATATAATTTTATAATTAAATATTTGTTTAGAGAGAGATGCAAAATTTAATTGCACAATAATTACTTTTTTGAAACAATAATTGTTTTGAGACTGCTTTATACAATAATTTGAATATATTTTACAAATCAAATGTTGTTATAACTCCGTTGCGCATTGTATCAGTGAGTGAAATTATTTTTTATTTTATATAATTTCGTAGTAATGAATTTATAAAATTTTCAAATTAAGATTAATAGAAATATAAATAAATGCAATATTTCATAAATCCATTGGCTTAAAATAAGTAGACTAAAATAGATTAATATAAATATTTAATCCTGAAATCTGTAGTTATTCTTCGATTTATTTCTGAAAATATACATATAAAAGTCCATAAGAAGATTTACGAAGATTATATATAAAAGAAAAAAAGAAAACATGTAACAATTATTTATGTATAGTGCTTATTGAAACTAATTTATTTTTAAAAATGCGTTTGAGAAAATGCAATGATTAGTAATTGTATCTATTCTAATTTTTTATAATCTATTCATGTTTATATATGTATACATATATATCGATAACTTAATTTAATTTTATTATAATTTAAAACAAAATAAACATGACGTGAGATATAAAATATTAAATATTTCGTTGCAAAACAGAATAATTTTTGACATAAATTATTTCATAATTAATCAGTTATATACACATATTATATAAAATAATAATTACAAATATTTTTCATTAATGATATTAAAAACAATGTGAATAGCATATTAATAAGTACAATAATGTTAATTTACGTTTTATATTCAGTATTATATTCAAAACATAAAACACTTAATATTTTATATTTAAGATTTAATACATGTACAATAGATATACAATAGATTTACACACGGAATCTATATTTACGTTATTTTTGCTCTAAAATATTCATATTTCTAAAGCATTACTTTACTGGCATGATATAAATATTTTTTGACCATACAGCATTGATAAATATATTAAAAAATTATTAGTTTGTAGTAATTGTGTGTGTATCTATTACACACGTGTGTAAATCAATTATATATAGTATATTAAATCTTTGAGAATTTAATAATGCAGTTCGAAAAAAGCAATGTTAAGGAAATGGTTAAATATTAATATTTTTATACACACATTATAACGATTAAATAATTAAATAATTTTTTGAAAGAAGATAAAAATTATACGTCAAGCATATAAAAATATTAAAACTTCTTGCTTATATAAGCACATGCGCAATTATAAATTCCTGACCATCGTTCATATGTTTTGTGTCAGAATGAAAGTATTAGGGGACATTTTTTAATATTACTTTTTTTCTCATAATAAAAAACAATAATTTACTAACGGAGTAAAACTTCATCTAGCCCAAAATTGTCGCTGCTGTGTGCGTATGATTAAAAAAATTCCTGCTGTTCATTCCTGCGTTTACATATGCGAAAAATGTAAGTTCTGTGACACTGTTTAAGATTCTCCACAATAAAGAAGAAATAATTTGTGATGTCATGTGTCAGGATTAGGAAGTTTTTTAACTTGAAATATTTACGTGTATTTAAAAAAGTATTTTTATAATTTCCTGATCATTCTTTTTGTGTTTTATAAAAAAGACATGTTTGTTAGATAAATTTTATTTTATGTTTAAAAAACAAAAATTTATTTAACTAAGCATCTATTTAAAAAAATACTGTTAAATACATAGTAAATTCGAATAGATCGAAAAATTGAAAATGCAGTTTATTGTAGCTTTTCTATGCGTGCTGCAAATATAAAATTACATAATGCTTATAAAAGACGGTGAACATATACATATATGTATATATATATATCCAAAGAAAATATTAAAAGTACAATAAAAAATAATTTAAAAAATATACAAATAGAACATACTCAACTTTCTTTGTTCAAGTTTATATTTTTATAATTGTTTTAATGTTTTACATGTATATATATGTGTAGTTATTTCTTAGTATAATCAAATTTGAAATGTTCCAAGAATGTTGCAAATTTCAACGAGATATTAGGAAATTTGTACGTCGCTACTATTAACACGCATGTATATTGATAATTTTAGCGTCACTAACAAGTTTCCGTTTGCTTCTCGCGAAATATTCCTCTTAATTACAGTCTCTGTTGTTTCTGGTTATTTGTGTCAGGAAGACTGTTTCTCTCTTAGTTTCTTACTTTACGTTTTGTTTGCAGCGTTCCGCACTAGCTTGCTTTTGTTTAATGGTCCTCCCATCATATTCCTCTACTACTGAATCCGTGTTATTATCTCTCAACGAGCTAGCATGCCGGCTAGAGGGGCTCGCCGTTCACTTAAACTTACTGTATTCATTATTAATGCTGGTGCGATATTTCTACCGTGACGCCTGATAACGCAACATCTTAATGCATTTTACATTACGTATAGCGTATTATACTTTGATTCTTGCACCTGACTCCTATCAAGGTTGTAGCTACAGGTCGATATTCGGCACAAAGGAGAAGTTTGAAAGCGATGGGATTTCATGGATAATATTGCAGCTACATTGAAGGGCCAATAACACTGTGCACATCTAGAGAAATACGTTGTAGCGTGATATGACCATAGAGATCATGTAAGGGGTTCACTGTATCACGTGACGCTCGTATTTCATGACCGACGTAATATTGATTTTATCTTCGGTACCGGACTATTCGTGTTAGACTGTTCCGGCTATGATATGATCGTTTAATAGTGTTCGACATCGCAATAAATGGTCAATGTTATAATATGAGTGAAAACAGATAACTTCCGATCGACTACAAGATTATAGTATTAATATATCCTTAAGTATTTTTGTTTCAATTGTGATTTTATGAAATGTTTACATTGAATAAAATTGCGCACAAAATGACAAGAGAAGAATGTACATCAAACATGAGAAACTATATTCAGTTTTAAATTATCTTGAGGTAAAATGCGCGTTTATTTCACTAATATTAAGTTGCTATCCAATCATTAATAAATAGCCCAAGAAAGTTGAACACGCATACCGACGTACACGTAACAAAAAGCCCTTTGAACGCGGAAGAGGTTCAAGATAGACGAAAGGGAAAAATAAGGCAGTTTGCTCGATTATACTCTTCTTCGCTTCGAGAACTAGCGCGAAAGGTTTATTACAAATTCTCGTTTCACCCTTCTTCTTTCTATCTCTCTTTCTCTTCATGTCTTTTGTCCTCTTTTCTGTCTTCGATCCTTTACTTTCTCGTTTGCACCCTCTTTATTGCTTCCAGCTTTCACGTTGTATACTTCAACGATGTCTAACGCATACTATGAACAAAGCTTCACTTTTGGAAACTCGTCATAACGTAGTCAATTTATGAGAGATCCTGAGAATATGGAAGCGCATATATCTCTGTCCTGTAATGTGTCTTTTTATCGAGACGGCTATGCTCGTCTCTATAAACCGTATGATATATCGATCTGGATCTTTTCGCTCAAGCAGGAATAGAAAATTTAGCGGAAGATTTTCTCATTACAGTCTC